TTTTTTTTTCCAAGCGATAATCAAACTATCATTAAAAACTCAAAAAACAATGTCCACGATAATCAAATGATCACAATCCAAACAAGCACTACACAAGACAGAAACAAGAGGCCCGAGGCAAGACACTCCTTACCCCTACATTGGCAACAACAGCCATAATAGTCTACAAACTAAATAATAATTAGAAAATCGAACTAATAGTTGCATTGCAAATAGATACCAAATTCCCAATAATATCTACTTGAGAAATCAAATCCTCCTTGCTCAGGCTTTCAGCAAAACCCTCCACAAAGTCACCAGAATGAAGGAAAAGTGAGAAGTTTCTGAAATTGTTTTCCTAAAGCTTTAGTCAAGCCCCATATAATGGCCATTACCCACCCTTCTCCATTCTGATTAACTCCATAGAGTGTATCTTGCCATTGCAACTGCACAGCTCCCATCTGATAAACACTGCACTCCACTTGTACTTCACCTTCCAAAGATATTGAGGCGCTAAGAGTCAAAGAAGACTGACCTACCCCCTGGAAAAATTATCTTGAAAAGCTTGGCTTGTGAAATTCTCTACATTGTTTTTGGATCTATCAGATTTAGACACTGTCCACTCCATCCACTCAGCTTGAGCACCATCCACAATCATTTTATCATGTATCCAACCACCCTTGTACATCCACTTATTTCTAGCCTTCCATAGGTGCCATAGCAAGAATGTTGACAATTCTAACCTCTCCTCCTTTAAATTCAATTCTTTAGCACAGCAAATTTGAAGCCACCAATGCTGAAATATCCCTTGTCCTTCAGGTTGAACACACCAATTAAGCCCACTCAGCTTCCAACAATTTTGTCCTCTCTTACAGTTGAAAAGAATGTGATTTAAATCCTCCACATGTTCTCCACAGATAGTACAAACTGGATCAACACACATGCCTTTTCTTAGAATTTGATCACTAGAGCTCAGATACCCAAACCAGCACCTCCACATAAAGTTTTTGATATTGGCTTTGATATTCAACTGCCATGTTGTTCTCCACATCTTAGCAATAAGCACTGGATCTGTACTAGATGTAGCTCTCTCCTGGTCCCTGTTTTTCCATTTCATGATAGTCTTGTAAACTTCTTTGACCGAAAATTCTCCTTTTGGGTGCCAGTGCCAAATAAGTTTATCAGAGCCACCAACAACAGATAAAGGGATTTTACAAATAACCTCTGCAGTTTCAGAATCAAAAGCTTGACAGATAAACTCCTTATCCCACTCCCTACTACCCTCTCTCATCAAATCCCTCACTCTGACCAATCTATGCCTATCATCTAAAAAATTACACTGAGGAATAAAAGGGGGTTTAGTAGGAATCCAAGGAGAATTCCACATAGAAATATTAGCCCCATCCCCCACTTTGAACCTAGCACCCAACTCCAAAAACTTTATAACACTAAGCAGACTTTTCCACATCCAAGAGTCTTGAGATTTTGACTTTACTTCAAAAATACTAGTCTGCCAAAAATATTTTCCTTTAATGACTTGACTAACCAACAGATTAGGTTGAGTGATAAACCTCCACAGCTGTTTGACTAAGAGAGCATCATTAAAAACTGCAAGATCTTTAAAACCCAGCCCCCCTTGATCTTTCCCTCTCACTAAGTTATCCCACCCCACCCAATGGATTTTATTGCCTCCCCTCTCATTCTCACCCCACCAAAAGTTGGAAATAATCTGACACAACTGTTTGACAATAGAAATAGGAACTTTGAAACAAGACATAATGTAAGTAGGAAGAGCATTAAGCACAGCTTTAATCAATATTTCTTTCCCACTCTCACACAGAAAATTATTCTTCCAATTTCTGATTCTATTCTGAACACACTCACTTATAAAACTGAAAGTCTCTCTTTTGTTTCTACCAATCCCTAGAGGTAACCTTAGGTATTTGGAAGAGTAAACCCTTGAGATCCCAGACAAAGCATTGCAAATGGACTGACATGACTCCTCTGACATGTTTTTAGAAAAAAAGATGGAAGACTTATCAAAGTTCACTAACTGCCCTGAGTCATGACCATAATTATACAAAATAGAGGTAAGAATATTGACATGATGCAAATCAGCTCTACAAAAGATCATGGAATCATCAGCAAATAACAGATGAGAAATGCTAGGAGCATGAGGTCCTATTCTAATACCCTGGAATTGCCCAGCACAAGAGGCTTGATGGATTTAAGAAGAGAAAACTTCTGAAACCAATAAGAACAAATAAGGAGACAAGGGATCACCTTGTGTAACACCCCGCCTAGACTTACTAAAATCAGAATAAATTTTTCGCGCTATAAATGGAAAGCACTTATTAAATTTTCGAAAACTTGTATTAATTTTTCGAAAATACTTTAACTTAAAACACGGGGTGCTACTCAACTGTAATCTTATATCTTTAATCTTTATCTCTTTAATCTAAATGCATGCGACCAAGTGAAATCCATTCTAGAATTAAGGCCATGAATAATACCGGATTAAGCATGCATATTTTGAAATTCTGACA